AATCATTTACTGCTTGCAAACCAATGATGGTAAGATGATGTTATGGGGTAGGACTGGATAAGTCTGACTTCTTCCTACTCCATTCAAGCATGTACTAGGTATAAGCACATTGATATTGGATTATGTGTATCTGTGTTGTCATATCAACTGTTTTTACATGCTTGAAAGACTAAATCAAATCAAATCAAATCAAATTCACTGAAGTAATGCTATTTTACTGCTCAAACACAAACATTCCACACAGCTGGCTATTGTGTAAAGATACACAAAACTTTACATTAAATTTAAACTGATTTACATTAAATTTAAACTGATTAAACTCTAAGCAGTTTAATATTTGACTGACTTCAGGTGCGGCCTTCATTCCCAACGATGTTGTGACATCCGAGAGAGCAGCATAGACAGCTGCACATGCGCACACAGAGGCGCTCACACACACAGAAACACACACACACAGGTCAGTCAGCAGGACAGAGCTCTCCCTTTTTTTTAGTTGATACAACAGAGGTGGTGTGGAGCAACGTGTTGACTCAGCTGCTCAGCTACACCTCATTTCACTCCATGATACTGCAGGTCCCAGTCATGCCCTGGTGTCTGTTTTCTTCATATTCCCAGCAACTGAATATTAAGTCATATACTGGTGTGTATATGAGTCAGTAATGGCGTGCACTTAGGGTCAGTTGTGTCACGTTTGCTCTCATCTCATTCTTCTCAGCTCTGACTGGGAGAAAAGTACTGTAACCCTGTTAAAATACACAACACTGTTGTCATGTGAGGACCTGCTGCTAACTGGCAAGGCTCTACATTCTTGTATATTCAAACATGACAAGCAAGCAAATATTACAAATTACTGTGTGTAGTGTGTGTGTCTCCACTGATAGCCTATCTTGTTTAGCATGCGTTCTCATGACGACTTTATTAAAGGTTGAGATGACCGTTAATACCTTCTCATTTTCCAGTACCATTATCTGAAATGCACATGTCACTCCCACTCAGTGAATACCACAGGCTGCTTCTTTTAGGCTTAACAGCCTGAAACACCATCTTAGCCTTCATTAAAAATTTGTCACAAAGAAGAATACAAATAGAAAGCTATACCAAACTTCCACTCACCTTGTAAAGATGAGGGAATTCCTGACAATTTAACATGCAAGCTAAAATGCACATGCAAAGTGTTTCTCTGACTTATTGCTAAACATTCTAATGACTCCAGGTGCCACGTTGATATTAGTAACCCGACCACAACTCCTGCCTTACTTTTCATTGAGTTCTCAGTTGATAAGTATAAACAGTTTTCTTATTTTTAAATCAGTTTTCGCTAAATTTCAAGTCTTTACGTTTCACACTGTTAAGAACACAACAGGCCCACCCTCCCTCACTTATTACACAGCCCGCACCCTGGTGGTGTATAAATCTGTCACTACAAAGCATCTAACCATTGTCATTACTAAAATGAAACGATCCTCCTGTTCACTGGTCATTCTTTGTTAAAGAAATCATGCAGCTGGGTTTCCTCTTTTTTCTGGATTGCATTTTCTTGAACAGATTTATTGTTTTATATTTGAACTCTTCTAACACAATAATGTTTTGTATTATTAGACTTTTCTTTCAGTTACTATTATTAACAAATGTCACAGATCGATATAACTCCCTACACCTAATATTTGAGGGAAAGATGGTTTAAAACTATTACAGATAAAGATAAATTGCTGGTTGATCACACTCTATATCCAAACAGTATGCTGTGCTATACTCAGTAGTGGGGATAAGATGATGTGTTGTTGAAAAAATATTATATTTTTTTCACACCACAATTAGAAACACCAGAGATCATAATTTACTGAAAGATGGATTTAACATAACATAAAGATATTTATGAAGTTAGGGTTGCTTTGAACATTTTCATATTGTAATTGGATATGTAAAGTAATGACAACAATACTTGATAAAAAGTCAAATAAATTTTAATATGAAATAATATGAACATTTCAGGAGGAATGAAGAAGCTACAGATGTTGTTTCTGTATCACTGCTTTATCATCACCAGTTGCCATTCAGTCTTCTGTACTTTATATTACTGTCACTTACACACACACTAATGCAGCCACACACACCTTGAACTATGTCTCTTTATCTGTGTCATTCTCTGTGCCCTCTATTATTACCATTTGTTAAGAGGCAGATGCATGCCTTAGTGTCGTCAGTCTGCGATGAGTTATAAATAGTCCCAAATCACCACTGTGCCACATACACTCATATATTTCTTCACTGATGCACTGCATGCGCAGATATGTCCAGACAGGGGGTAATACAAACACATCTACACACACATTAAGGGATGAATAGAACTGTGGTGTAAAATAGTGGAAATCATTTTCTCCTGCTAAGTGGCGTAAGCATGAAGAA